GAGGTAAGACTAACTGGCCTATAGTTTCCCGGGTCCTCCTTCCTCCCTTTTTTGAAGATGGGAACCACATTGGCCCTCTTCCAGTCCTCCGGCACCTCTCCAGTGCACCACGAGTGCTCGTAAAGCCGTGCCAGGGGACCTGCAATGACCTCGGCCAGTTCCTTTAGAACTCTAGGGTGGAGATCGTCGGGACTGGCTGACTTGAATACGTCCAGCCCCTCCAGAAGCTCCCTTACTAAGTCCTTGCCAACCCTTGGCCCAGATGTACCTCCCCTGGGGCCCCTTGAAGGGGGCAAGACCCCAGTAATGGTGGTGGAGCTGGGCTTTAGCAAAACTCCTTTCAGATTGTTTTGATGCACAAAGTTTCCATGCTGAAATCCTGTGCCGCAGCAGTTTCACAGCTGTGAAGAGCTTTTCAAGGTTTTCAGCCTAATCCCTTGTTTCTATCCCTTTCAGCCACCTGAGCTGCAAGGTCTTGGAAGGCTCCGAGTCCTGTGCGTGTATATATTGTCTTCCCTAGAGTTTCTAATCTCAGTCTGATTCTCTTTATTTCTCAGTGCAGTTTTGACTTCCATGGCTTCAGCTTAGAACTGAAATACTATGACTTCCGTTGCACTTGATATCTACTGATGCCTCATGCGGCACCTGTTATTTATAGCATTGTGCATGTTATGCCCTAGGAGTGCTTGAACTGGATACACAAATTCAGTCCCTGACTCTTCAGGAGTTATGAGTCCATTAATACATCTGGTTATTCAGTGCTGCATGGGGGTTGGGGTGGAAATGCTTTTTCACCCTCTCTAGCTGACCAGCTTACACCCTCAAGCCTAAGATCAGGTTCTACTGGTTTTGACATGCAGCGCTATAAATGTTAGGCAGGGATCTATTATTAGCCAGGATCAAATAAAAAGACTACAGTGTTTGACCTCTACTGTGATGGCAAAACAGACCACCAAAACACCCAAATCATTGAGGTTTAACAGCAGTCCGTATACATGGTCACTCTGTTCACTAACGGGATTCTTCTGCGTAACACTTATAGCATGCATTCATTTTGGACTTTTACATGCACTGTCCCTTGTGCTTGCTGACCAAAGTGTAATGCACAGGGTGATGGGTTACTTGAAAAGTAGAATAGGTCCCCAAAGACCTGGGTATAACTATCAGGAAGGATATGTGGGAGAAATCTGCCATTGGAAACCTTTTTGGTAACAGTGGAAGGTAGGTGAGAAGAAGGCTTAGCTTATACAAAACTTGGGGAGAACGTGCCACATAAACGATTTCAGCCTATGGGTATCATTGCTGCATTCATGGAATTAAACCACACTTATTTTGCATTTCCTCAATTTCAGTTAACCCATTAATCTTTCTTTCAGGCCTCCATGTATCATCCCAAGCCTCTGATTAGCTTTCACGTAGCCCCATTTTCCAAAAAAGAACTTTCTTCCCTCCTCTCTCTCTTTACTAAAAGCAGTGCCTGGTAGTGAAACATTAGATATTTGGCACAGTTCTTAAGATGTTTTACGCATATTGCAATCAGGTAGTGATAGCAACACATTTTGCTCTGTGAATCCTGGTTGTGTTTTGGATAGAAGAGCCCTTTTTATGGCTAGGAAGTGAGGATGATTGACATGGAGAAAACTCTGATCTGCAGTGGTAAAGGTGGCTTTTGAATTGTGCTAGCTAAGATGACCTGATCAAAGAATACAGACAAATGGAAAACATATCAGTTACCTTTGTTTTCCCAACTCCCTTTGCTTCTCAAAGTGTTATGTGCCTCCATGTTGCTATGAAAGATTTTTGTAGGTACTTTTGAGATGACTTGCAGAATACTTTTGTATGCTTACATGCCCACACATGAATCATGTAGATGCCTCAGATGTGTACGTGCTCCATCTCGTTACACAGCTTTTGTGTATGTTTTAGAGTATGCTTGTATTTCCACCTGTGAATCTCTTGACATTTGTGGATAGCTGTTGGTCTTCTGTCTAGTTCTTTTTTCTGTTAATGCTGGAAAATAGCATGTGTACTGATCCCAAAAAAATATCATCTAGCCAGGAAAGCATAGTCTGTGACTAGAGAAAAGATTCCCACCTCTGCTATTTATCCCTTTGACGTGAGGCAAAACCCTCCCACAAAAGCCACTTAGTTTCTGTCTCTCAGTTTAATCAGCTGTAAAATTAGCCTTATTTGCCTACCGTTTTGCATCGGTAAAAGTTTTGAAGCGCTCTGAAAACATTTTGGAGACATTGGTGTGTGTGATTCTGCAAAATTTTACCCCCTCTGTAATATTGCCCCTTTATGAAGCTGATTACTGTTGGCTTGGTTTTCTAGTACATCTACCCTTTTTTATATATATATTTCTTTTTTTAAATTTTTTTTTCTGTTGTAGCTTAGTTCACTGATTTTATTTTTAGGTCTGATGATGAACAGAGTTCAGCGGATAAGGAAAGACTTGCCAGGTAGGAGAAACGGAGATTTTAAGCATGACAAAGCAAGTTTTCCCTCTCCTCCATGTTCCTCCAGGCATCTCCCTTTTTATTTTCTGACCTGCTGCAGTAGAAGCTTTGAAACTAGACAGACTTCGGTGCAAACTGAATTCACAGGGCACCCAGGGGGATTGCCTTCAGTGAAATTTTGTTTTGCATTCAAGCTCAGACAGCAAGAAGACAGGTCACAGCGCAGCCAGTTCATCACTTGTTATAACTTTGCTAGCCTGCCCTGTGGAAAGTAAAAGCACTCTTGTGTCAGACAGACGTTAGAAGCCAAATATCACCTACTTGTAAGTCCCTGTCGTGGTTTTTGCCATGGTGCCTTCACCCACTGCATGACTAGACCTAACAAAAATATTGGCTGGTCTCTTTGCAAACACAGTACGAGGACTGCATGATGCTGCCTTGGTCCGTGGCAAAACTGAATGGGCGCTATGCTGTTTTCTTGAAGTCGTTCCTCTTAAGCAAGATCGTACTGGCTTGGGTGTTGGTACCCTGTGATCTTTTTGGTTGGCTTATTACTATGGTCCGTTTGGTTCTTTTTGTGTGTGGGTTTTTTTTTTTCTTTTAAAAGGCAGGCACACCTTCTGAAGGGCAGACTTGCATAGCTGAGATACCTGAGGAGATAAGGATGGGGTTTGGTGGGTGTAAAGGAAAACCAGTGAGTGTATCTGTGGTGGGAGAAGAGGGGGTTTTCTACAGAGTAGACAGTGATGTTTTTGAAGAGCTTTCCTTCCTCTGACATTAGTGACCCACCTCTCTTCATCTCTGTTTAATGCCCTCTTGCAAAATCCAGCTTATTGTCAAGAATAGCTTGCAAGAGAGCAGGTAAAGCCCTGTTGCTCACTTCCCTATTCCCCTGACACTATACCCTTATCTGTAGCTTGGCAGAGCTGAAGGGGAGGTGAGTGGGGTGCTCCAAGCACTGTTCAGAAGGCCCTTTCCCTCTGCAGCATGAGATGAAGCCACCACCGCAGAAGCCTAGAAGGTGACAGGCTTCCCACTGGTTTTCCTCTCCTCACCAGTTCTCTCCCAGTATTATTTTCCACCATTCTCCCCCTGCTCTATCATCCATCCACTATTCATTTTTTCCTTCATGTGCTTCTTTGCATCTGATCCAGCTTTCTTAAAGGAAACTTGGCGTTTTAACCTGGTGACAGATCTACCTTTGTCACTCAACTAACATCAATCCAAGTAATAACAGCTAAATTGCACTCGGGCCATAAATAGGATTCCAATGCATTCTGCTCTGGCTGGGGGGAGGTGTCAGTCGGCTGTTTTTTCCCACCCAACACCCCAGAGAAGATGTTTTGTGAGCTGTGTTAAGCCTAGTATCACGAAGAAATCAGGAGCACTCATTCAAATGCATCTCCAGAACTCTTCCTCTGCTGTGGCAGAAATCTGTGCAGATACTTTGTACAGGCTGGTAAGGGAGATGGCTTCATAAAAGCAGTGGGCAAAAACTCCCGTGTGCCTCCTTCATCTTCAGAACAGAATCCTGGAAACTGCAGGGCCTCATTCTCCTTTACGTGAAGCCCTTTTGAGCAGAAGCTGCCATATTTTTCTCTTGCATGATGTTCCCTGGAATATAATCTGCACCTTGTTTTTGAAAGGCAGAATGAAAGAAAAAAAAGATCTTTCCTTGTAGTAAGTAATAGGCCTGTGTGAAGTGGCAAGTAATCACTTTGGATTCGGATTCAGCTGATTTGGAGGACAGTGATTCGATTTAGAGATTCGAATCACTGTCTCGATTCGATTTGGCCAAATTAAATCTGAAAGATGTGGCGCCACTTCGGAGATTCGGCCATAGACTAAACAGAGAGCTGACACAGCTGCTTCCAGCTGGTAAATCTGTTGGGGTTGGGGGAAGGAAGGATTTGGGCTGGGACTGCAACAAGCTGCCCAGCGTGTGCGGGATGCAAGCACAACAGTGCTTGGAGCAGGGGCTTTGCTCTGCTGCCGTTTGCCCAGCCAGGGTGGGCAGAGGACACGGTCACAGCTCGCTCCAGATGGAAGGGGGCAAGCAGCAGCAGAGCATAGCCCCTGCTCTCAACACTGCTGAACCTGCCCCACTCCATGCCGGCTGGGCAAGCAGCAATAGGGCATTGCACCCGCATCCTATACCCCCTGCCCCTCCCGCAACCCCAGCAGACTTACCAGTTGGAGGCAGCTGTGTCAGCTGCCTGTTTTAGTCTTTGGCCGAATCAATTCAGATGCTTCAAATGGATTTGGAAGTTTTAATTGGTCTCCTGATTTGATTCAGATTCAGAGATTCAGTCCCCCGAATTGGGCAAAATCTCCTCTGAATCGAATTGGCTACTGAAGCTACTCAGCCCTAATAAGTAACCAGGTAGCTCAGCCTGCTTGTTCTGCTCCACATGTATTGCTGCAGTATTTACTTCCCATTTCAGCCCCTAAGCAGCAGGACCTGCTCTTACCCTATTTCTTGCATATAATATGCACTCCAATTTCCAGCAGCATTTTTTTGGGGGGGGCGGGGAGTGTTGTATGTGAGAAAATAAGGTATTATCATGTTTTGGTTTCTTCATACTACCAAAATGACATAGCTGGCCTGTAGTTTACCAGTATAGAGACCTACCACAGTCACTGTACAAGGCCTGCTGTGGTGGGGCCAACTACTGGCTGCAGTAGTGCCTTCATACTGCGGTAGGAAGCTTCCTGTACTAAAGTAGCTCACTGTCTTCAGAAAAGCTTGAGGATAGATGTACTTTATAGCAAGAACCTGTCATACAGGGCAGCGAGTCTGTGACGTGAGCTCCTCTTCCTCAGACTTGTTCCCGTGTCCTGCATGCCCAGTATGCCAGGGTATTGCTGCCTTGCTACCTTCTGAAGACCCCAGCACCTTCTTTTCAGTTTTGCCCTCCACAGAGAACCCGGGGAGAGCCACTGTGGCCAAAGAACTGAGCCACTCGTTGCCTCTCTGATCTCTCTCCACTCTCCACCCCCAGGGAGAATCACAGTGAGATAGAGCGGCGACGGCGCAACAAAATGACTGCCTACATCACAGAGTTGTCGGACATGGTGCCCACCTGCAGTGCTCTGGCCCGCAAGCCGGACAAGCTGACTATCCTGCGTATGGCTGTGTCGCACATGAAGTCCCTGCGGGGCACCGGCAACACCTCCACCGATGGCACTTACAAGCCCTCTTTCCTTACAGATCAGGTCTCTGCTTGCCTGCATTGCTAGGAAGCCCAGAGGGGCTTTTGCTGGTTGCCTCTGCCCTGTGTCAGGGTGCTGTTGAGCCTCCCTCAAAGGCATTGGGTGTTGGCTAGAGCCCAGGATGGGGATGAACACTGGAACATCCCAGTCCCCCTGCTGGGACCAAAGCTGGAGGGTCCTGGCAACAGGCTCTTGTCATTCCATTCAGTGTCAGACCAATGCCATATTTGGGCTCAGGAAGGAATTGTACCTCCCGGCCCGACTGGTATGGATTTGCTGAGCCGTTGCCTTCCTCTGTAGTGGGTACAGCCTCTGCCTGGGATCTCTTGAGTATATATTAACAACCTTTTATAGAAGCAAGGCGTTGGCCGCTGTGGCCCCCCTGCTTTCCCTGTGGTAGGTTCGGGTGTGATGTCTTGTGCCAGGGTTGACAGTAGTTTTACAAAGAGGTTAGATGCTGGATGTGTTTGGGATGGTTTGGACAGGGCTGATTGCACGCAGTGTGACCTCTGGAGGTTCCTTCGAGCCCCACTTCTCTGATTTCTATGTCCAGCTTGGCAAAAGGGTGGCTGAGGTCTGGGGTGGGGGTGGGGAGAGAGCCCAGGGCCTAGAGGTGGTTGACAGGCAATGAGTGCCATAGTTGCTGGATTAAGAACATCTTTCTGTCCTGTGCATAGGAACTCAAACACTTGATTCTAGAGGCAGCCGATGGCTTTCTATTCATAGTGTCCTGTGAGACGGGAAGGGTGGTCTACGTCTCGGACTCGGTGACTCCTGTCCTAAACCAGCCCCAGTCTGAGTGGTTTGGCAGTACCCTGTACAACCAGGTGCACCCAGACGACGTGGGCAAACTGCGGGAGCAGCTCTCGACATCTGAGAATGCGCTGACGGGTAAGCCAGCCTATGGCGCCGAACCCCTGTGCCCGTCTGCCTGCCATGTGCGTGCCCTTGCCAGGCCAGGCCTGAGTCAGTGGCCTTCTAGACTAAGCAGATCATAGGTAAATTGGGCTGGAAGGGACCTCACAAGGTCCCATCTGGCCCAGCCCCCTGCTCAAGGTAGGATCATCCCTGTCTAAACCATCCCAGCCCAGTGTCTATCCAACCTGCTCTTGAAAACTTCCAAGAGTTTTTAGATGGTGTTGAACAGACTGAGATGAGCCATGATCCCAGTGGGCTGATGTTCCCCCATCCTGGTTAATGGTGCTAAACCTGTTTCCAGAAGGGTTGCTCTATTTATGTACTCCAGCAGTTGTGAATCCCTTTACCCTCCAATGCACAGATCATTCCCCAACCCTGGAGGTCCTCCTCGATGGGAGAAGCCCAGCTAGGCAGATGCTACCTGTTGATCTGAATGCTGGAGGCACCTCTTTGCAATCTCTAAATATTCTAGTTAGCTCTGGCATTTGACTTCTTTTCACCTCCTCCCTCTTTGTGCTTACTCCTGATTTGTGGGGACAATATGAGCACCATGCTGTCAGCTACTGGAGTAGGGAACTAGCTTCTGGGAGATACTGTAAACAAGGCATGGCCCATCTGCAGGATGTGTGCCTCAAACTTGTGTGTGGCACAAAACAAATTGGGAAGGGAGCAGAAAGCAGAGCAGCAGCTCAAATGGGGTGTGTGGAGCGGAGCAACGTCTGTCAAGGGAGTGGGCTCAGAGCTGCACTCAGGTAGGGGATGGGGCCAACTTGTGGCACGGTTGCCCCTGAATACTCTGGTACCTTTCAGTTCCAGGAAGGGATGGGTCGCAGCTACATCCTATTCTTGAGCTGGTAATATGGAATTTGGCTCTTAGGAAAACAGAGGGATGCCCAGTGTATGGGCTGAGGCATCCCAGTGCCATAGTGAAAGCGTCCAGAGTTGTCCTGTAGACCATCAGCACATTGCCTTTTCTCTGCGTAGGTCGTATCCTTGATTTGAAGACAGGGACAGTTAAGAAGGAAGGCCAGCAGTCCATGAGGATGTCCATGGGCTCCCGTCGGTCCTTCATCTGCCGAATGAGGTACTAGGAAGAGCACAGCCACAACTGTGGCATGTCAAGTCCTCACCCAAACCCCGCTGCCTGCCTGTCTTGTTAGCATTAAAGTGGTGAAGCCTTTGCTTTGCTCTTCCATGCTAGATAAGATCTGAGTCATCTGATTCCCTGCAGGGAATTCCACTCTCAAATGATCCCATAATTTTTTTCAGACCTGTGCTAATAGCTTTCAGGGATGTTGCCGCAGGTAATTTTATAATGCCAGCGCTGCATTCCCGCCTTCCTCTGCGCTTGCTCTGAGTTGGGGCGTGACTTTTCACATTCTGTGGCCATAAAAGAGGCTATTTATACTTTTAAGGCAGGGGGAGGGAGTGTAAAGGCAGAATTCGTGTTGGTAGTGCTTCATCTTCCAATTCAAGGCTTTGCAGGCTGTATCGATGAGGATTAAAGCTTTCCCTCTTGACCACGACAGGTGTGGCAGCAGCTCTGTGGATACTGTCTCTGTCAACAGGCTTAGTTTCATGAGGAACCGATGCAGGTAAATCCATGGGGGGGCCTGTTGCACTGTGCTGGGAAACCAGATGGTTCCAACATCATGTTGGCGGGCAGTGAGGGAAGGTGCTGTGGTGAAAGCGTGTATACAAGGGGATGTTGCACAGGCTATTTAAGACTCCTGCTATGTCAGAGGAAAGAGGCCAGGACTTTTCAGTTTAGAAAAGAGATGCTTGGGGGGATGGGAGAAGGGTTTACAGAACGCTAAATGACAGAAAGTAAACGGGGATCCCTCGTCTCTTCTCTCTCTACAAGAACTAGGGGTCACAAAAATGAAACTACTAGGTTGTAAGATTATAACACAAGGAAGTTCCTTTTTACACTGTGTGTAATTAAAACATGGGACTCTTTAAGATGTGGTGGAAGCTGCCAGTTTAGCCACATTCCCAAAGGGGTTGGACACATTCTTGGAGGAAAGGGGCACCAGCAGCTATTGAGTATGGGAGTGAGGGATACAGCCGCTGAATCAGAGCTTCCTGGACCTTAGATGCTGGAGGATGTAAGTGAGAGAGGAACAGGGGAAAATACCCTGGTCAGACCCAGTTCGCTCCCTTTCAGCATCTGCTCCGTTGTCCCTGTGCGACACCAAAGACTGGGCAACATGGACCCAGGGTCTCACCCAGGAAATGGCACTTTTGTACCCTCGTCTCTACCTTAACAAGACACCTTTCCACAGGTGCTCTGAATATGCCAATCCTCTTTTTGCAGCATATAGTTTAAATGTCTAATTAACCTTAATCCAGGCTGAGATTCTGCTGCTCTGTGTTCTTGAAAGTCTCACAGGGGTCTTACCAAGTAGAAAATAAAGCAAGCTCCACTCTCTTGTGTCCCTTGAAATTACAGCACTTAGAATCATTCACAGTGCTCACCCTGGACTTTTCAAATAGGTGTAGCTCAATATGTTGTATCTGGAGCAGCATTCCTTGCTTGCAGGGGCTTTGGTTGTGCAACAAATTGGAAACAAGTTGGCCCATAAGACATAAGGAGTAATCTCTCAGTAATTTTTTCTCTGCCCTAGGAACGGATTGGGTGCAGTGAAAGATGGTGAGCCTCATTACGTGGTGGTACACTGCACAGGGTATATCAAAGCCTGGCCTCCAGCAGGTGAGAAATAACGGCATTTATCAGTTGTTCAAGTCAGCAGCAAATTAGCATCCTAAAGTCAGACTTTAGGATGAAAAGGAATCCCACTTTCTTAAATGCTAGGTTTGGATTCTTGCAGGTTGTGGGCATTATAGTAGGCGTTCCAATACTTGTGCACATTTAATTGGTGCACATTTAATTGGAGTGTAACCAGACATGGGTTGCATTATCCAATCCTGTGAACTCTGAATTAGAGGTTGAACCGGGAGAGGGTGGGGTGCTTTTAGTTTGAGGTCCTAGGAGAAAGAACTCAGGAACAAATCAGCAAGGAGTTCAATACTTCTAGTCTTGCTTCCCCTTGGTGGAATTAGTGGCCTCTCCTACAGACACTGCCAGGATTCTTTCAAACATTCCTTTTCCTTTTGGTCCCAGGCATCTCGTTACCAGATGATGACCCAGATGCTGGCCAGGGAAGCAAATTTTGCCTTGTGGCCATTGGCAGATTACAGGTGGGTACAAACTCTTGTGATTCAGCAGATCTTGCAGAACATGGCAGTTGTGAGAATTAAAGCCCCATTCTACATGACGGGGGTTATTTTATTAGCCAGCCAATTCTGCTTTTCCTGAAAGATCTTATGCCAACATATTCTCCATGTGTGATCCTCCTTGTTTCCTTTCAGCAGCAACGTCTTTGGCTCAGGATAAAGCAAATACCATGTCTGCTGTCTGAAAGCTTCCAAAGCTCTGGCTTGCAAAATGTACAGGGAACTGTTTCCCGCAAGCACCAGTCTCCCAGACCAGTGTTATATGGCGCTCTGACAGCTGTCAGAGAGGCCTTCTGGGAACTGTCGTGCCAGTAGATGTATCAAATGCCCTACTTGGTTTCATGATTCCTCCTTTGTGTCATTCTCACTACATATGGATGACAGGAACATGGCAGCCCTTTGGAAATGTGTGGAGGGTGTTTAAATGCTAGTAAATAATTTCATTAGGCTTAGAATTGCTTACATGTTTGCCTGGGCTCAGATGAAGCAGTATCTCACCCCTCTGACATCCCTTGTCAAATTGAGGTTTTATTACCTGCTGCTTGTTCAGGTAGTACATGATACCAGCTGCTGGGCACAGGGCAAGAACATTATGGTTCTGATCTGGGTTAACGTGCGTGTGTGTGCTCGTGCGTGCAGAGTCGGTTAACATAGGGTCTGTTTCTCCCCAGGTCACTAGCTCGCCCAACTGCACAGACATGAGCACTGTTTGTCAGCCAACAGAATTCATCTCCCGACACAACACTGAAGGCATCTTCACCTTCATAGATCACCGCTGCATGGCAACAGTTGGCTACCAACCACAGGTGAGACACTTTCCAGGAGAGTGCAGGGTCAGCTGGCCTTTTCTCCACACACCTTGTGGCTTTGCTTATCTAAATAAAACTGAGCTGAAACAACAGTGAGGGTAGAACCAGACATGGCATTCTCCACTGCCTGTTGCTTAGAAAAATAGGCAAAAACTTGCTTTGATCTGTACAGGGAAGTGGCTCTGGGTTATGTCTAGATCTAATTGAGAGAGTCTCTATCTCCGCATCTGAATTGAGTATTCAAAGGGTGAATTTGTACTGCAGTGATTTTTCAGCCAAGGGGCCACAAGATCTTTTTACGAGTGTTATGTGATATTAGCATTGGGAGGTTTGCAAACAGCCACGTGGTTTACAAGATGAACCTAGATATTTCCAATAGGTACTCAGAAGGTTATAACCCTTCTGTCCTGCTGAGTTCTTTGAATGGAAGAATTGCTGTAGCATTCTGCTGTAGTCAAAAATAAAAACAGCAAGTGAAAGTGAAGAGCTGGCATTTTCCAGGGGGGGACCGTAAGTCTACTAAGGCTGAAAACCTTTATTCCATTGTGCTGTTGCTGAAATAAGCTCTTATCTTTGGGCGTAGTGTGGGGAAGAGAAGCGTCTCTAGCTGTACTCCACTGCCCAGGGTAGGTAGGAGCTGAGGGAATCACCTTGCCAAATAAAGACTTATTTGAATTCATTTTCTCTCCTCTTTTGAACTAGGAACTTCTGGGGAAGGACATTGTAGATTTCTGCCACCCGGAAGACCAGCAGCTCTTGCGGGACAGTTTCCAGCAGGTTTTTAGCTTTTGCTCCTCTCCTCTGCTTGTGGGTTTGTGGCAAGCCTGCAACGTGGATGGCTGTTTCTGTTAGCCATCAGCCTTGCAATGGTGGGAGGGTAGAGAAGGCAGCTCTGATTCTTATCAGCACAGGAAGTGAATGGAGTTTAACTTTTATATCACTCCATTAATGAGTGGCAAGTGGTCAAATAGATAACTGTTCTTCAAATTTATGGAGAGGCAAGCAAGTCCACTCCTTCCCTCTCAATCACCATGAGAAGTAGTAGCTCCTTGTTCATTTGAACATAGCTAATTGAGCGAGTGCTTTGAGAGTAGCTAACATTTTAATGTATCCCATCATCGCAAAGACGTGTCACTGAGGGTGTAAAGGAAGTGGTATGTCTGCTTCTGTAGCATCCTAAGCCTCATTGGAGGAACAGATGAATGGAGTAGCTAGAATATATCTGGAAGGTGTAATGCAGTAGCATGGCCTAAAGTCACAGGGCACCCCGGCCAGCTGCTGGTGGGGTTGGATGCCTTTATGCCTATACTTGAGGTTGCTCCATATGTCCATTATCTGGTGCTAGCAATAGCCTTGCTTTTTCTAGGTGGTGAAGTTAAAAGGCCAGGTGCTGTCAGTCATGTTCCGCTTCCGGTCCAAAAACCGCGAGTGGCTCTGGATGCGAACCAGCTCCTTCACCTTCCAGAACCCCTACTCAGATGAGATCGAGTACATCATCTGCACCAACACCAGCGTGAAGTATGTACGCACAGCCCACAAGCACTTTGAGTTGTACCACAGGCATCGTGTTGGATTCTGCGTCTCCCAGGCAGAGAACCTGAGCTCTCAGGGTCCTCACCAGTCTTCTGCTCAGTTTAGACCCCAGTAAAGTCTCTAATCACACAGTTTACTATGTTCCCTTGACGAGATCTTGGCCAGATATTCTCAAACAGCTATTTTAAAATGCATCAGCTGTTGCTATAAAGTAAATATTGCCATCTCCCTGCAACAGCGTGCCCCAGAACTTGGAGACCTCTCCCCCATTGTGGTGCTGCAGTAAGATTGCTTGTCTGCCCCACCTTGCCTGTTCCCTTTTTGCTATCGTAACTGATTCTCCTTGGGAGCAGTCAAGGATACTGTTCTCCTTGGGAGCAGCTCAGGGTGTTGTTAGAAGTGCCACATTTGTGCTGTGGAAGGGAAATGCTGCTGAGGAAATGCATCTCATAGTTACATGGCTAATATTAGCCATGAAGGATGCCTGCCCATCCAGACTGTAAACAGAATCAAGGCTGGATGTCCAGTTCCCTTCTAGGTCTTTTTCTGTTGCAGAGTACAGGCGGCAACTCGCCCTACCCACTCGCTGTCAGGAGATACATGAGCAATATTGCCCTGATTCCTGCTGTGGGTTCCCTTTGTTTCCCTAGAGCAGTGGTTTTCAACCTTTTTTCATTTGCGGACCCCAGAACATTTTTGAATGGAAGTGTGGACCCCTCAGAATTGTAAGTATAGGTATCCACATTCTTTTGATTGATCATAGTCATCTTTTAATGGACCCCTTAGACATAGTCTGCCCAACCCTCAAGGGTTCTTGGACCACAGGTTGAAAACCACTGTCCTAGGAGCATGGTCAATATCCAGGAGTCTTGTCTTTATTTTATCTCTGTCCTGGCATTAGAGGCATCTCTTTGAACTCCTTCATTCCCCTTAGTCCAGATGCATCCATTCCCATTTCCACGTTTTGACCTAAAAGTATGTCATGCTGTTGCAGCCAAGATGTCATCTGGCTGGAGGGGCTACACTTTTACAGCCTGTGAACTGTAACTGAATGCATCTTATTTCTCTGAGACTGAGAACTATCCATGGCGCAAAAGGAGTTGCATTTAAAAGCCTTAGCAGGAAACTCTTCCCTGTGTTCCCTCACCATGTGGAGAGAAACTGGTTAATTTGAGGTACTGGCCATTATACTGTCTTCAGCTCATCAGAAGCAGAACCCAGAGGTGCTTACCAGGGATTTAATGTGAACATCTCTCTGCAGTTAGAAGTCCCTAGCGCTTGTCATATATCTGCTGAGTTGAATGGAGAGTCTCAGACCTTTTTATAGGTATCAGCATGGAGCTGCTTGTGGTTTTGAGACCTGTATTAGCCTGGCAAGGCTTCTAGCCTGCCCTGCTGAAAAACACCTCTGATGGGTACTGTGCAGAGGCTGTAGTCACCTTTGGCTCGTGGGTCTTATTGTGTTCAACATCTGACCCAAAGGACTTTGAAATAGGAGGGATCTTTCCATTGACTCTGGGCTTGCCACTACAATACATCCTGCTGCGGTGAAACCCATCCAGCTTCTCCATGCAGCGACCAGCTCTGAACTCAGCTTGTATCTTTCTTTCCTCAAAGGAATTCAAGCCAGGAGTCACGGCCTGCCCTGTCCAATGCCATGCCAAGGCCACAGCTGGGGCAGAGTGCCAGCCTTCCCCTGGAGATGGGTGCAGCGCAGCTGGCCTCAAGGTCAGAGGAGAATGCAATGCTCTTTGAGTCCTCTCTTATGTGGGTTATCTCCTCTTCTCCTGGCCCCCTTGTTTGTATAAACCCTGTCAGGTGTCCTTACACTCACTGTCCCCAGAGCTGTAATCAATCCTTCCTAGCTAATGCCTCATTAAACACACAAACCTTGTGTCTGCTGCCTTGGTAGTCTGCTGGTCTGTTTAAGCAGCAGGGCTAATTCTGCAACTGGCAATTAAATTTTAACTGAGCGGAAGCAGGGAGTATCTGCCTGGTTGTAGTTCAGGCAGCCGCACAAACTTGTAAGGGTGTTGGCTGGCAGACAAGGAGAGCTGTAAACTGCTCTTGTCACTAGGAGCTCCCTTTTGGGGTCTGCCTGTGCCATTCGCAAGGCACTGGTGAGCAGCCTTTGGCTATTTTTGTATTGACCGTAGCACTGTCTCTGGGAACACAGGTCTGGGTCCTGCTATAGCAAGAGTGACCAAGATCCAGCCCCAGAGCCTTGTCATGCAGTCCACAGGGCTTTCTGTGGCTTCAGAAATTTGGTGGAAACCTTGTCTCAATTCCCAGAGCCCCAGCACCAAATTTCCAGACCTGTGGGGAACTCTGAGGGGTCGTGTCCTCTGACCCACAGGCTTGCCAGGCACTGCTATGCTACAGCATTCAGAGAGGCTTCTCCTCTAGACATCCACTGGGTCCAGGCCCAGCACTGTGGTTGCATTTAGCCAGATGCTGTTGTCTTCTCACAGTTGCTTCTATTTTAGACCGCAGCAGCCGCCACAGCAGCAGGCAGAGCTGGAAGTGGTTCCAGGGGGAGAGAGCCTGTCTGGGTACGAGCACTCGCAGGTAATTTGGCAGGGAGCAGGAAGGCTTCCAGCAGTGTTTATGTTGTCCTGGGTGGCATGATCGATCCTAGCCCAAAAACTGGCCCTCGTGGGAGTGACCTAGAATGCTCCTGCGTGGAAGGCAGTGCCTGGGTGTGGTACACATGAGGGTCCAGGCTTTGAGCCCGTCAGCTCTTTTTCTTGTTGATCAGGGGTGCTTAACCCCCAGCCCATGGGCCAGATCCAGCCCATGGCTCCATGTTATCCAGTCCACAGAGCTCCCCATGGGTCCAACATTTAGCAGCTGGAGAGCATTGGTACTATCTCTTTCCCCCACTCCCACCATTGCTAAATTGTGCTGGATCAGGCAGCAGTCGATGCTGGGCAGAGGCTGGGCAGAAGCAGCACCATTAGGATGCCATGGCCCAATCCCAGTGCACTGGGGGCTGGGAGGTGGCAGTGTTGGGACCAAATCCCAGCACACAGAGGTGGTGCCAAGCCTGTGGGGACCAATCCCATGGGGAACAGGGTGATTCCAGGACCTGATCTAGTCATGGACCAGCCCTATGCCAGTCCTGTGGCCCGTTGGGCCAAAAGGTTGAGCTCATACCATAGATGATATGCTGTTAGCGAGCTTCCTTCGTGCCTTTGGGGAGGTATCCCTGCCTTTGCCTGCTAGTTACCCATGTTTGTGTCTCCAGGTCTCTGTTCAGCCAGTCACAGCAGCCGGCCCTGAACACAGCAAGCCCCTGGAGAAAGCAGAGACCCTGTTTCCGCAGGAGCGCGACCCAAGGTTCAGTGAAATCTACCCTGGCATCAGTACAGGTAGGGGGAGCTGCATACGGTGATGGGGTGGGGGTGACTGATCTCAAATCAATATTGCCACTTGTCCCATTTATTAGGGACATTCTGTAATGGGCACCTGTACACTTGTTTATCCACCCATAACCTTTTGCCCCAGACTATTGCCCTGACCATGACCCCCCAGTGCCTTCCTGTCTACAGCCAGGATCCTGGTCATGCTTCTTTGGGTGGGGAGGGGTGGACAAAAACTGTTTGCCCTACACCCAGAGCCAAGTGCCCCAGGTCTGGAACCTCTAGTGTAACCCCCCACTTCTGCCTCTTCACAGCTGAGCGCTTGTCTGTTTTCCTGTACTCTGAGATCAGATCTCGGCAAACCTCCTACGCTCAAAGGATATTATGCAAAGTTTGATTAGACAATTGAGAGGAAATAGAATTAAACAAGCTGTTACAAAACCGTCTGGCGCCTGGATAATAGCGTGGCTAAGTGACAAATGAGCTTGTTGTAGCAAGCCAGGGCAGATCATCAGATTGAATGGGAAGTGCTCAGAGGTTCTTGCTCCCTCCCATGGGCATCATTGTCTTCCAGGCCCTAACCTGAATTTGGTTCTTTCTCAGATCAGAGCAAAGCCATTCCTGCCAATACCGTGCCTACTAATCAGCCGCTCTTCCCTCAGGGAAATACTTTCACCCCTACCCGGCCTGCGGAGAACTTCAGGTGAAGCTAGGGCACTGGCTGGGGAGTGGGGTAGCTGTGGATTGTACTTCTGTTTGCACTTTGTCTGTGGACTCTCCAAAAAAGGAAAGTGCCAAAGGTGTGACTGGGGGTATTAACTGATCTAAAGCAATTGGACTGTAATCACCATCCAGGAAGCATTAGCTCTGAACAGCTGGTGTGGGAAACAGGCCACTGAAGTACGCCAGTTCTGACTCAGCTTGTCTCTGGGCAGCCCAACAGAGGAGAGCATCTGCGGCCTATGTATGCAGGTTTTGAAACTTACCCATGTGGGAGAGTTATGTACACCATAAGACACTTGGTCTTCTAAAACCAGCATCAGTCTTCATTTGCTTTACTTCAGCTTGCCCATCAGTTGTATCTAGATACTAGCCCAAAAAGGAATGCAGTGATGCGGGGTACAAGTGTGGGGGTGTAAACCATTGCTGCAGTCGAGTAGGGCTGATAACCCAAGAAACAGGATTTTTTACTGACAATCTGCAAACTTTTTACTGACAGCCAAAATATTTTTTACTATGTTTGGTGTTTAACCTCTAACTTTGAACCCCACCCCTGTCAATGGCTTGGCCAAAGAGTTATAGTTATATTATGTAAAATAAGCATCAGTAGAAAAAAGTTTGGTTGTCAGTAAAAAGTTTGTAGATGGTCAGTAAAGAAAATTAATCTTGGCAAATCTGTTTCTGTGATGCACTGTTTAATTACTGCTTAAACCCAGGTGACTTTTAACACTTGCTGTCCTCCACTCTAGGGGCAGTAGCATGGTACCTCCTGTAAATATTATCCAACATCAGTCTGCCTCCACCGGCCGAATCTTAGCCCAGATTTCTCGTCACTCCAACCCCACTCAGGTCAGCGGAACCAACTGGCCGGCTGGGTCACGGCCCTCGTTCTCAGCACAGGTAATAGCTCCTAGATGTCTGCCATGGGCCTTCTGCCAGTGGCAGGGACTCATGCACATGCTGTCACCATGTAAGTGGCTTTTTTGGGAAATGTTCTTAATCCAGTCATTCCTTTGAAATAACCAAGAGGGTGGGAGGAATTCCTTAGGAATCATGTGGCTGAGGCAGGTCCAACAGCACTGGTGAACCTGGCCTGAAATGAGGTTGTCAAGCCCTGAGCATTGAAGCCCTTAAAGCTGTGGGGGTGAGATGTGGGGAGACAGGGTGTTAATCCTCCATGCTGAATACTACTGTCACCATCTTAGTCTTAGTCTGCAGGTGAATGAGTCCCGGACTTGAGTGCTCCCATCTCCTGTGTAACTTCTTGCTCTGTCAGTCAGAATGAGGCCCTCTGTTACATTTTCCCCTAAAGAGCTCTCATCCCGTGAGGGCCTTCTAGGTGCAGCAAAGGGCAGACCAGCAGTGGTAGGGCAGCTTGCGCTGCTTATACTCCCTCTCCTTGGTTGATGAAGGATCTCTGTCTCCAGTGCTGGACCACATGATGATGAGGAGCAGAACGTAACCGTGTTCCCTTCCGTGTCCCTGCAGCAAGTGGCATCCCAGGCCGCGAAGACCCGTTCCCCCTCATTTGGGATGGGCACCTTCCAAGGCACCCCCTCCTCCTTCAGTCCCATGTCCACATCGGGCTCCACAGCCTCGCCTGGCAGCGCCGCGTATCCCAACCTCACCAGCCGTGGCACGGGCTTCAGTAAGTGCTAGTTCTTTTCTGTGAGGACCTGGGGAATAGGGTCTTGAACCCGGAGCCCTAAAGAGTCTCCGCCCAGGGTGGGTGGGGGGGTGAAGGGCACCTCTGGAATCCCACAACACTTGCCATCATGACGACTTCTCCAGAAACCCATCCTGGGTAGTCTTGTCTCCAGCAACAAACCCTTACTACATGGGGCTGTTAATTCTACACTCTAATTGACCTCACGGTTAAGTGGCTGATATTGGTGGGGGGGGGGGGCGGCCTCCCATCTACTTCAGTTCCTTGCATACTACACTCACCTTTCCTCTCCCAAAGTTCAGTCCTCCAAAGTTGATAGGGAAGCTAATCTTTATGGCTGGAACAGAAGCATGGAGGCACTGTGCTATAATGGCTTCTGCTTGTCTGTGGGCTGGCAAGCAACTGGGGAAGAATCTGGTTTTTCAGCCCTCTTGCAGCCTCTGCCAAGTAGCTTTCAGCTGAGTAGCCTAATCTGGCAGCAGCTGAGAGGGTTAATTCCAGAGCTTTTGCCCTGAAGCAACCAATGAGGTGGCTGAGGGTGAGGCCGGTTGCTGCCTGCAATTGGCTTTTGGCCATGACCAGATTCTGCTTTCCAGAAATGAGGTGCATGTCTTACTGTGGGGGGTTGTGGTATGCAGGCAATTATGGTCCTGGTCTAGTTGGCTGGGAGCGTAAAGTGGTAACATTCAGCTTTCAAATCTTGCCTTTGCCAACCTCTTGATGGCCCTTGGGACCAGCAGCCATCGTTCCCGGTGGTCAGAGAATCTCACATTTATAACTTACTGACCTGTTCCTTGTCAAACAGCCACTGAGACTGGGCAGACGCCAGCCCCGTTTCAGGCACGGACGACAGAAGGAGTGGGCATGTGGCCTCAGTGGCAGGGACAGCACCACGGGCCGGCATCAGGAGAGCAACACGTGCAGCAGCCACCCACCCAGTCAGAGGTCTTCCCGGTAAGAGGGCGCCTGTGGCAAGCAGGGCCATGAGTTCAGGCGGGTGAGCGAGCTCTGGGGCCCTGGCAGATTTTGCATTTAAGGTGTGATTTGCTGGTTCATCACTTAAGGAGTGACCTGGCCCCACATTCAATCAATGAATGGGAAAACTAGGAATACGTCACAAAGCTGTTGCATGCAACATGCATAATACGTTACGGCTGGTTCTTACCACACATGGGATGTGTGGCCAGTGCTCCCAGTTCCTTCCAGATGCCTGTGTGCTCCAGAGGCTGGGAGCACACATCAGCTGATGGGGCACCCTGTGCTCCTCTGACTGAGAGCTCCAGGTAGCTGATAATGGCTTCTAGCTACAGAAATGCAGGAAGCCAAACTTGCTGATCCTGGACTCCCCCTGCACCAGGTGCATCATGGCACAATGGGATCTGTGGCAGGATTTTGGTTTTTTTTAAATAAAAAAACAGAGTAGCTCTACTCAGCTCCATCTCCCCTTTGTCCTTTAGAGACTCTGCCCAGGCTCCGGCTTCCTGCCACCTGCTCTGATGAGAGATATGACCCATTAACTGTTAACCCTCCTTCCAGACTGCTCTGTAAGCCTTATCAACTTGCACCCAGCAGGGCATTTGCTGCTGGATAGGGCTGTGCAAAATTTTGGCAGCCATCTTGTTTCAGATGGCTCGGGCCATTTTGGCACCTGAAACACCAAGTCCAGATCAAAACAGAAGGCTCAGGAACATCTCTGAAATGAAATGAGGCATCCAAAATGTTTCGGAACACTTTGGAGTTTCGCAGCTGGGCTTACAGGGAAACAGCTATATGTTGCTGCCCTGCCGTGCAACTTGGCTCCACAGGGAGCAGAGATCTGTTGCTGGGGTCTCCTTGCCACTGCTGTCCACCCTGCAGTGCCCAGGCAATCCAGGGCTGCACGGGGTGGGCAGCGGCGGCGAGGAGACCCCCGGCACAGATCTCTGGTCCCTGCAGAGCCAGGTCGTGTGGCAGAGCAGTGCTGGTCCCTGCTGTGCTACCTGGCCTTGGCTGCACTGGGCGGGCAGCGGCAGGGAAGAGACCCCAGTATGGAACTTCCCTGCTGTGCAACCTGGCGTGATGGGGATCAAATCTCCGTGGGGGTCTCCTTGCCTGCATGGAGGGCAGTAGCCCTCCCCCAGATGAGCCACCCAAGGGCCCCATCCTGCTTCCCGCTGGGGCCTTGCGGTCCCTGGCCCCAGCCACTGTCCAGCTGGGTCGAGCTGTGCAAAGCTTCCCTTGCAGCCCGTTCGAAACAGATTCGGCTGCAATGAAACAGGACAGTGATCCAAAACAAATTGCTGTCCTCTGAAACAGCCGTTTCGCACAGCCCTGCTGCTGGACTTCTTTTGCCTGTCTGTAGCAACCTCTTCCTGCTAACAGCACAGGGGACACAACTCTGTCAGCTGCGGGGTGCAGTTGGAAGCGTCTGTAGCAGTCTCTTCTTGCTGTGGTGTTTTTACAGATACCCTCTTCCACACAACTAAAGGAAGACGTTCCTCACCCCTGCCTGAGATTCCAAGATGCAGCAGCTGCCCAGATCCAAAACTAACCACGTCTTTTGTCTTTCCAGGACATGCTGTCCATGTTGGGAGACCAGGGAAGCAACTACAACAATGAAGAATTCCCTGAGTTAAACATGTTTCCCTCCTTCTCGGAATAAAACTCTTGTAAGTAAGGACAGCAGCCACCATCCAGTTCTCAAGTATCTCCATGTAAAGGAAAAGCACCTACAGCTTTCTTCCAAGACTGCTAAACTTTGGAAACACTTCCTTCCTCCTGGTGGCTGGGAACATGCCCCCGAGAGCCCCAAATGGATGATTTGCTGTGGAGGAGACAGCCATGCCTCTGGGGTGCCGTGAGCACCAGTGGTACTGGTCACCAGAAGATTTCAGGACTGGAGTACCCCTCCATGGGGAAGTTCTGGTAACGCTCCCGGCTTGGGCAGCAGGGTGCCCTCAGCACAGAGCTTACACATCTTTTCTTCAGCCCTTTTTAAGCTGTGTATCAGAGCTGTTTTTAGACTTCAGCGGAAGGATTCCCCCCCACACACACCCTGCCCTGATTGACGCCAGGAGGGTAGGAATCCTCCTCATCTTCTCCAGCCTGTCGTGTGGGGTCTACACGTTGCCCAATCAAGGGACTCCTTCTTTGCCATCTCTCCAGGAAGTCAGGAGCAAGCTTGTTACGAGCTCTCCAGCTCGTGGGAGTGGTGCTCCGTTAGACCTCCATGCATACGGCAGCATGGCTGCTTTTCAACCCAACCTCGTCCATAATCTGTGCAATTCGTGTGAGTCTCTTAGTACAACCTATAAATGTGTGGGGGACTTTCATACATGTACACATGGGATAATGATGAGCCATAACGTAGCTTTTGTGGGGCAGGAGTAAGTGAGTCAGGCCACAGCTGAAGGTGTCAGCACTGCCCTAAACCAGTGTTTAAACAAGTTCTCTTGAAGTCCATCAAGGGGGAAAAAAAATCCCCATGTCTTTCCATGCAGGTTCAGCTGTCTGCATCTCCTTCCCTCTTCTCTTTGGTAAACCAAATCACAAGCGTATGGATCAAGGATCCAGGTAAAAATAGCCAGGGGCTGGTGCTCACATCCCCAAGGTGTTTCATTCTTGCCTTCAGGGATCCCTCTAAAGAAATCCTTCCTGCCTTACCACAATCTCGTCCTTGGCCTATGAGATGGAGGCTAAGAAGAGCGAGAGCATTTGCTGGAATAGTTTAAGCCTTGTGTTCCCAGTTTGTTGGCATCTTTCCTGAGGGGGATAAAAACAAGAAGCGCCAGGCCCTTTCTCAGTGGCTCCTGTAGACTCTTGGGCAGGCACCTCCTGGGTCTGGAAGCGTCAGAGCCAGACGCTCAGGTTTTTATGTGGGTTTCTGGGTATTTCCAGAGTACTGATGACTCTCCAGCATCAGGATTTAAGCTCTGCCTTCTCATGCTTTCACTCAGACGGTTCAGAAACTAACAGCACAGGGCAATGCTTTGCAAAGGCCTGAGAAATTGAAGATGGGGGCGGATCCTGGAGACGGAGGTTGGAGACTAACAGGAGATTCTGGCTATGAGGGTGGTCGAGCATTGGAATTGGGCGCCTAGAGAGGTGATGGAGTCTCCCTCCTTGGAAGCTCTCGAGCAGGTTTGACAGATGCTTGGCTGGGATGGTTGAGTCGAGGTTAGTCCTGCCTTGAGCAGGGGCCTGGGCTAGATGTGACCTTGTGAGATCTATTCCAGCCCCACTTTTTCCCATCATCCTCAGTGCTGTTTTCAGAAGATCGCTTCAATGTTGAGGAGCTTTGCAAAACATCCCCCCCCTCCCATCTGCATCTGCTCCATGCTGGGTTGATTATCAGGGTAGCCAACAGCAATAATGACACATGGCTCTTCTCTCCAGCTGGCTTTCCAAATACCTTCTCCAAAGGTCTTGGGCCTGCTGGGCCAGTGCTTTCTCAGGCTGAGAGCAAGTGCCCTATGCATCGTGTCCTACAGATCTGGATCCCAGGCACATGTGAACCAGCTGGCAGGGAGTGTTCAACAGCCCAGCAGCTGCATCCGTGTCTTCACTTTACCAAAGTCAAGGGAGACTAGCCTGGGAAGCATGGACTGGCAGCCAGCACTCTTCCTCTCCACAGCCATTAGGAATGGACCGGTGTTGCTCCCCCAGCCATCATGTACTGTGTGTGCATCTTGTAACAAGGGGCTAAAGTAGAACTTGGCCTCTCTTTAGTATATGGTGAGCATCAGGCTGAGGCTGTGGCTTCATCGCTCCTCCCAGGGGCAGGAGGCTTGCTTGGTACCAAGCAGGTGCTAGCAGCTCAGTGGAGCTATGAGGAAGAACCCTGGGTCTTGCCATGGGGAGCTGCTCTCTCAGCTCAGGCTCCAGAGCCCCCAAAACAGACAGCTCCTGCCAAAGAGCCCCATCACCAGCCATTAGCTGGTGGTGGTGGAAT